TCTCAATTCCCACGTCCCCCAATTCTCACATTCCCCAATTCCACATTGCCTAATTCTCACATTCCCCAATTCCCACATTCCCCAATTCCCACTTGCCTAATTCCCACATTCTCCAATTCCCACATTCTCCAATTCCACATTCCCCAATTTCCACATTCCCCAATTCCACGTAATCCAATTTCACATTTCCCAATTCCCACGTCCCCCAATTCCCACATTCCCCAATTCCACATTGCCTAATTCCCACATTCTCCAATTCCCACATTCTCCAATTCCACATTCCCCAATTTCCACATTTCCCAATTCCACGTAATCCAATTTCACATTTTCCAATTCTCACGTCCCCCAATTCCCACATTCCCCAATTCCACATTCCCCAATTCTCACATTCCCCAATTCCACATTTCCTAATTTCCCAATTCACCAAATTCTCGAATCCCTAAATTCCTAAATTCCCAAATTCTCCAATTCCCTAATTCCCCACTTCTCCATTTTCTCAATCTCCCTACACCCACATTCTCAACCACCCAAATTCCCCAAATACCCAATCCCAAATTCTCCAATCCCCTCATCGTCCTCAACTTCTCCGAATCCCGCATCACTTTCAATTCCCAGATATGACATTAGGCAATGCACATTGGAAATTGGGCAACTATTAAAACCACTATGGTTGTTTTACCGTTAAGATCGGTAGCAGAAGGTGAACAACCGCTGATGTTCAGGAAAGGTAAACAACTTTCTAAGGTGGCAGACAGGTGCTCACCGGTAAACCGTGACTGATCGCTATAGAAAATGGGTTGCTATATCGTCTTCGTTCCGCTATCGTTTCATCGATTCCCTGAAATTCTGCTCTATTTCTATCGGGTGAACGTTTCGTTAGCTCCACGTGTGAGCACGCATAATGCGTCACGACACGGTCGTCCTCGTTTCGAGCGGTTCACGAAGGTAAAAGCCTCCTCGACCGGCACGAAACTGCTGTCGAAGCGTTCGAGGAAACTCGCACGAACCTATCCAATTTGTTCAACTTTATGCTTCAACGCGGTTTATGATATTTTCCTTAGGAATTCTATCTTGATTCCATTTTACACCACAATGCACTTTTAGATAATTTATGAAGCGAGAGTGGGATTTTATATTTTGGACACGTCCTTTGTAGGGTATTTACTTCTTGTACTTTCTTTAATGTACATTTAACTGACTTTATATTTTGGTGATTGCATGGTTTGTTAACGGCACATTTTGCGAGCTATATATTTTATTAGTAGAACATTTTGTGAATTATATATTTTACTGATGGAACATATTACGGATTGTCTTTTTTGTTCGGTGGACATTTTGATGACAGTACATTTTATTGAGTAGACATTTTGCTGACAGTACAGTTTGTTAATTGTACAGTACGTTGATAATATATTTTGTTAATAGTATAGTACATCAATAGTACATTTCATGAATTGCACATTCTGTTAACAGCTCATTTGGTTGATTGTACACTTTCCTGATAGTACAGTTTATTAATTATACATTTTATGAACTATACAATTTGTTAACAGTGTAATTAACTGATCATGCACTTTTTTTTGCAGTTTTGAGCGGAGGACCACTGATGGACGACGTCTACAAATTGGAACAGTATCATTGTCATTGGGGTTGCAGCGACTCCAAAGGGTCCGAGCACACAGTTAATGGCCAGGCATTTGCCGGAGAGGTTAGTTACATTTTTAACTCAAAACTTCTCCACACTCAATCACTTTTGAACGAGATGAACGATCGAGCATCCTCTGTCTACCATTCGTAGTCAGTGTCTGCTTCGAAGCGGATCGTTAATAATTCACTCTCGAGGAGCATGATTCGCGTTACAATCATTCGTACGAACTTACGGTCACTTCGACCTTGTTCGAACGCGTGCACTGTACTGTCCATGACATCTGAGACAACCGGATGAAAAATCATTTTCCTTGTGTAATCTCGTTATGATCTGAGACAGCGAGAGAATTGGAGAATTTGAACTGGGGAATGTGGAATCGGGGAATGTGGAATTGGGGAATGTGGGAATTGGGGAATGTGAGAATTGGGGGACGTGGGAATTGGGGAATGTGGGAATTGGGGAATGTGGAAATTGGGGAATGTGAGAATTAGGGGACGTGGAAATTGGGGAATGTGGGAATTGGGGGATGTGGGAATTGGTGGACGTGGGAATTGGGGAATGTGGGAATTGGGAAATGTGGAATTGGGGAATATGGAATTGGGGAATGTGGAATTGGGGAAGGGACGTGGGAATTGGAAAATGCGGAAATTGGGGGACGTGGGAATTGGAGGACGTAGGAATTGGGGGACGTGGGAATTGGAAAATGTGGAAATTGGGAAATGTGGAATCGGGGAATGTGGGAATTGGGAAATGTGGAATTGGGGAATGTGGGAATTGGAAAATGTGGAAATTGGGGGACGTGGGAATTGGAAAATGCGGAAATTGGGGGACGTGGGAATTGGGAAATGTGGGAATTGGAAAATGTGGAAATCGGGGAGTGTGGGAATTGGGGAATGTGGAAATTGGAAAATTTAAAAAAATTAAAATTTTTCTGGGAGATTCCCAGAAACCTCTACTTCCATCATTAACTAATTATTTAAATTGATAAATGTGTTACCTAAGTTATCGCTAAATTTCCCTATTACCATATAAATCGACTGAGTAATATTTCTCCAACCTGACAATATGAAAAATTGAGCAGTAAGAAAAATGATCCTCTTGAAAAGTTTTCATTCTCCAACTGATGTCATTGTCGATACCAAGAAACGCGACGATTGATTGCCGTGGAGAAATAGTCTGTTTCGAAGCGAATCGTCGAATAAAAAACTTGCGTAATTGAATGATTATCCGATTGCATATCTATTCAATGTAATTTACTTGGCTATTCGAGGACTGACTAGAATCTGCGTTTCTACGCACGTTCTCCTTTTAAATGCACTCGGAGTTGCATTACGAGTGCACATGGGGGAATGCACTTCCATTTATGCATACCAAATGGTCTGCTGACAATTTGCGAGTTGCATTGAGCTTATCGATAGTTGCTTTTATTAATGAAAAACGTGATTGGCATTAGAAAATGTTATTGAAGGTAACATCAGTTAAAATTGATATATTCTGTGTTTTAATTAAATTTATCGAAATTCTTAAACGTGATACAAATTAATTGGAAGGTTCGTTACAAAAATTATTTTATTTAGAAATAGAATTTTATTAATGTCTGTTTAATTTAATTCTTATCGATGTTAATTTGATGTTAATTTTTGAACGATAATTAATGACTAGTAATATTTTGACGACAGTTTACATTGTACACGTGTAACAATAGCAGTAATTTCGAGAGCACCATCTGTTCTCCTTTAAGAGTGTACTATTCTTGTTGCAGTTGCATCTGGTGCACTGGAACACAAGCAAATACAACACGTTCGCCGAAGCCGCGAAAGCATCCGATGGCCTTGCAGTTCTCGGTGTGTTCCTGAAGGTCAGTAATCATTCTGTTCGCTCTACCGTTCTTTCCACAGCTCGAAACTTCCTGCTTGAGTCTCCTTCTATTTCCGATCTATTCGACATCGATCACTGTCGATCTCTTATCGAATTGAGAGCTTGATCGATTTATAGATAACCGAATAGACACTTGCAGCTAACCTCGGGCTCTAGCAAACCTATAATTCAACTTCCTTTTTGAACCTGTTGTTAGAGAATTATTCTTGATTTCGTCTTGAATTTTAATACGAACGTTTATAGTATACTCAAAATATAGTGATTGCAGCACTCTCGTTATATCACCGTTTAGATATATCAATTTTGACGTATGTGATTCAATGATCATATTCGAGAAATGTTAATGGACATGTTTATTATCTTATGCAACGTTATATTTGCGATTACTGTAGACTCTCGTTATATCGCCGTTTAGATATATCAGTTTTAACGTACGAGCTTGAATGATCATGTTCAAGAAATGTTAACAGACTTGTTTATTAGCTTACAAAGCGTTATAATTGCAATTACAGAAGTCTCTCGTTATATCGCCGGTTACATATAAAAATTGTACCATACGTATTCGAACGATTATATTCAAGAAATGTTAACAAACATGTCTATTATCTTACAAATCCTTAAAATCGCGATTTTAGAAAACTCTCGTTATATCGCCGTTTATACATAACATTTGTATTGTTCGTATTCGAATGATTATATTCAAGAAATGTTAACAAACATGTCTATTATCTTACAAAGCCTTAAAATCGCGATTTTAGAAAACTCTCGTTATATCGCCGGTTACATATAACATTTGTATTGTTCGTATTCGAACGATTATATTCAAGAAATGTTAACAAACATGTCTATTATCTTACAAATCCTTAAAATCGCGATTTTAGAAAACTCTCGTTATATCGCCGGTTACATATAACATTTGTATTGTTCGTATTCGAACGATTATATTCAAGAAATGTTAACAAACATGTCTATTAACTCACAAAGCCTTAATATTGCGATTATAAAAAACTCTCGTTATATCGCCGGTTACATATAACATTTGTACTGTTCGTATTCGAACGATTATATTCAAGAAATGTTAACAAGCATGTCTATTATCTTACAAAGCCTTAAAATCGCGATTTTAGAAAACTCTCGTTATATCGCCGTTTACACATAAAATTTGTACTGTTCGTATTCGAACGAGTAGATCCAAAAAATGTTAACAGACATGTCTATTATCTTAAAAAGCCTCAAAATCGCGATTATAGAAAACTCGCGTTATATCGCCGTTTACATAAACTCGAGCGTACGTGCTCGTTCTATGACTGTAACACTTTGAAGCCGCAAGATAATGTTCTTAATACGTATGGTGATTCGTTTACACGCTGTTTGTGCCTTTTGTATGGATGCACAACTAGACGCGCAATATTTATAGCCGCTTAAACTTTTACATAAGACGGTGAGCTTCGTAAGCAGAATCCGTAACAGTGACGCGATTCGTTCCATCATCGGTTGATGATGTGTTACGTAAGCCCATAAAACGAGCATCATTATCCGTCCGTTCGTGGACGGAGTGAAATTTTCCTGGCCGTTCTGACCGCGAGGAAAATTGCTCGTCTCAATGATTTTCTTCCTTTTCGTCGAAATTAGGGGGCTATAAAGGCAACCGTATCATTAGGATCGTTAGAGAGAGGGACGCGATCGATAACGTTGAGAGAAAAAATTGCAACCGGTAATTTCGAATTACCTGTTTCCGTTCGGCAAGATCTAGGAGGCTTTATCTACACAGACTACAATAGAATTTCGAAATACACCGAGTTTCACGTGGAATCCGCACGCACCGATTGCGCAACCGTTTGTTCGAATAATGGCAAAATTGATAGCGTGCAATTGATGACTTTTACGTATGTTACGTACGTGTACACGTAGCAATATTTTCTTAGGTAACCAGTTTTTTTATGAATCAGAAAAACACAGCAAAACAGAATACAAATACTACTGTCTCTTTATAGACGTTACTTAACATTATTTAAAACAGCTGAAAATATTCCGAACAGTCCACATGATCTTCATATAAAACATCAAGCCTTGTACAATATTAATAAATCGCAGTAGTTGCAGAATACGAAAATGTTTTGTATGAAAAGATCCTCGTGAGAGACATTTCGTTCGTGAGAATTTAACCTTTAAACATACCCTGATGTATCAATAGAGTGTGCGCTCAAATATTAACCAAGCACTACAAACACGGTTCGAACCGATAACAGTTGCATACATTAAAAAATTGATTGTTGATTACAGGTGGGCAAGACGCACGAGGAAATGGATAAGATAGCACGCTTATTGCCGTACGTGTCGCACAAGAACGAAATGCTGGAGATCAGGGAAGCCATCGATCCCAGCAAGCTTCTTCCCGGTAAATAGCTTGGAAATGTCACTAGTGAATATTCCATGCGTGTAATCCAGCCTTGATCCTTATCCAATCACGTATTGAAATTGTCAACCGTGTTCGTGATCTTTTCGTTCACAACAAGTACAGTCGGTAACAAATCTTGCTTTCCTGCAAAAAATATTGTAAACTCAACTAAAAGATTTGCTCGTTGACTTTTAGTTTTTCATAGAAATTTGGGGATCTAGGGATTTTGTGATGAAGAAATTTGAAATCTAGGGATTTGGTGATGTAGAAATTTGGAGATCTAGGGATTTGGTAATTTGGAAATTTGAAGATCTAGGGATTTGGTGACATAGAAATTTGGGGGTCTAGGGATTTTGTGATGAAGAAATTTGGAATCTAGGGATTTGGGGATCTAGGGATTTGGGGATTTGGGGATTTGGGGATCTAGGGATTTGGGGATCTAGAGATTTGGGAATCTAGGGAATTGGGGATCTAGAGAATTGGGGATCTAGGGATTTGGGAACCTAGGAATTTGGGGATCTAAGTATTTGGTAATATAGTAATTTGGAGGTCTAGGGATTTGGTAATATAGTAATTTGGGGGTCTAGGGATTTGGTAATGTAGAAATTTGGGGACCTAGGGATTTGGTAATGTAGAAATTTGGGGATCTAGGAATTTAATGACATAGAAAAGGATTTGGGATCTAGGGAATTGGGGATCTAGGGATTTGGGGATCTAGGTATTTGGGGATCTAGGGAATTGGGGATCTAGAGAATTGGGGATCTAGGGATTTGGGAACCTAGGAATTTGGGGATCTAAGTATTTGGTAATATAGTAATTTGGAGGTCTAGGGATTTGGTAATATAGTAATTTGGGGGTCTAGGGATTTGGTAATGTAGAAATTTGGGGACCTAGGGATTTGGTAATGTAGAAATTTGGGGATCTAGGAATTTAATGACATAGAAATTTAGTGGTCTAGGGATTTGGTAAAATAATAATTTGGTGGTCTAGGGATTTGGTAATATAGAAACTTGGGGGTCTAGAGTATAATTGGGGATCTAGAGAATTGGGGATCTAGGGATTTGGGAACCTAGGAATTTGGGGATCTAAGTATTTGGTAATATAGTAATTTGGAGGTCTAGGGATTTGGTAATATAGTAATTTGGGGGTCTAGGGATTTGGTAATGTAGAAATTTGGGGACCTAGGGATTTGGTAATGTAGAAATTTGGGGATCTAGGAATTTAATGACATAGAAATTTAGTGGTCTAGGGATTTGGTAAAATAATAATTTGGTGGTCTAGGGATTTGGTAATATAGAAACTTGGGGGTCTAGAGTATAGTACTTTAAGGATCTAGGGATTTGGTGACATAGAAATTTAGAAATCTAGAAATTTTTCAACACAGAAATTTTGTGACCTAGGTATTTGTTAATATAAAAATTTTGGGATCTAGAAACTTACTGAAAAAATACTGATATCTAAAAATTTAATGATTTAAAAGCTTGAAAGTCAAGTGATTCAATTCTACAGAAATTTGAGGATCTAGAAATTTGTTGACATGAAATAAAGTTCTGAACACCTGTTTATTCGGAGGGTAGTGTACATTGCACCGGAGTGTACAGCTATTAAAATTTTCATCGATGTCGTTTCCGTGACACAAATGGATTGAAAAGTTTCAAACGCATTTGAAATATTCAGTATTTGCACCGATGCGGGAAGAAAGGGTTACACGTTATCGTTTAATATCTTAAAGAACACGATTACCACTAACACGCGAAGCTTAAGAAGATAAACAGTCGCATTTTAATGCGAAATGTCTTGACCGTACGTGTTACGTTAATGTCGTTACGTAATCATTTTCTCTTCGCCGTTCGTAGTACGCGTTAATAAATTAACAGCCGATTAGAACGTCAGACGTAAAAGAAGTCGGTTTATCGCCGTGATTGTCCGCTTTTCATCGTTCACGTGAATAACTGCTGAAGAAAATGAACGTTCGAGGAAATTTTTTCGCGAGGTTGCTAATTTCAGCTTGTAATACTTTAACCCATATCTGAACAAGTTTTTTAGAACTTGCATAACTAAATCAATTAAATTGCTGTTGCAATCAACGGATTAGTTAGGATTACTTTCCTAATACTTTATTTGTTTTGAGAAATTACTAGCTTCTTTTGGATAAATTGATCGTATCACAGTTTATCTAATTGCGTTATCGTTATTGCAAATTGGATGAGGATCAAAGGTTTACATTTTATATAATTCAAGACAGTTTCAACTCATAATCGATTGTTTCAGATGATAATGGCTATTGGACGTACCTGGGCTCGTTAACGACACCGCCTTGCAACGAAAGCGTCACTTGGATCCTCTTCAAGAAGTGCATCGAGGTGTCCCATCATCAGCTAAACATTTTCCGCAATTTACGAAAATTCTCTCGTGGAGAGGAATGCCCTTGTCACGAAAATCATGGAGCGGTTAGTATACTTGCAGATTGCCACTGCCAGTACCTAACCTAACTTGTACCTGTTACCTAACTTCTAGTACCTAGTCTTGACTCTTGATTGTCTGACATTGAACTTCTAATGTCTGACACTGCATCTGGTATCTAATTTCTAGTAGTCTTTCCTTGTAAGTTAGTCTCTAGTCTGGTTTTTTCCTGTAAGAACCTACTACATTATATCATATACCCATTACCTAACACTGGAATTAACACATATCTTTCAAGAGTATCGTTTAGAGTTCAAAAGATACTATCTTATATCTAAGACACCTTGTACCTAATTTACTTGTATTCAGACAAAAACTGTACCTCCATATTCAACATTTAATCTCAGCTTGTAAGTTGTCTAGTCTTGAAAGAAGTACCTACTACATTATATCATATACCCATTACCTAATACTGGAATTAACACATATCTTTCAAGAGTACCGTTTAGAGTTCAAAAGATACTATCTTCTATCTAAGACACCTTGTACTTAATTTACTTGTATTCAGACAAAAACTATACCTCCATATTACTCACATGTACCTCCATATTCAACATTTAATCTCAGCTTGTAAGTTGTCTGGTCTTGAAAGAAGTACCTACTACATTATACCATATACCCATTACCTAACACTGGAATTAACACATATCTTTCAAGAGTACCGTTTAGAGTTCATAAGATACTATCTTATATCTAAGGCACCTTGTACCTAATTTACTTGTATTTAGACAAAAACTGTACCTCCATATTACTCACATGTCCATATTTACCATCAGAAACCTCAGCGTTATTCAACATTTAATCTCAGCTTGAAAAGCTTCGCAACATCGAGGGTTTCTAACGCGTCATCTACAGGTAGTTAAGGCGGAACGAAACACCCATTGGACGCCTCCTGGTCAGCTCGATTAATCTCCATCCAGGTCGCGAGACAAGCCGCATAAACGGCAGCCCGCTACTTCCTCTCCCCCTCTATTTCTGTTTCTTTATTATTAGTCATCGTCACGAATAAATTTCAGATCGGCGGAATCACGGCCCCGTTTTCTAAATCCGGTACCTCTGTTCTCTGCTCGTTGCAGGTAATCAACAACTTCCGTCCGCCGATGCCGCTTGGAAATCGCGTGCTGCGCGAGTGCGGCAGCTTCTGAGCCTGTTTGGCCGCGAGCCGGGTCACAACCAGTCGATGCCGGACGAAAAACGACCAAGGGAAGAAACGACCGACCCAACAGACCGTTGCCCGCCGCAAAAGAAGAAGAAACTGTTATTTTTTTCTTTCCTGGTTCCCGGCGACGGTCGGCCTTCGTTCCGTACGGTGAAATCATTTGTAACTTCGCCGTGAACGCCGAGTGCCTTTTTTTCCACGAATACAACGACTGCAGGAAAACGAAACTCGGACGAATTCTTCGGATTTTCCGCAAGGAAGATGCTTTGGCTCGTTTTGAATCGATGGGAAACGCTGAAAAATAATTGATAGAGTGCTGTCCACTGTTTTATGTGACCTGTCGGAGAGAATATTTTTTATTTAATTTTAACGAACTGCTACATCATTGAAACGAACTGTAAATAGGGATTAGTTAGGGAATGGCTGTGTCAGGGATTTTTGGGACGATGGGAGTAAATTTCCGGAAGATGTGGACAGCACTGAGGTATCTATACGGTAACCGTCCGCTAAACGCGCGCTTTTGGGGCTCTACGTATAGTGTCCACGCAGAAAAGTATTTAAAATTAATAGAACGCGTTTTAAATAATTACCGTGAACGAAATATGTTCCTAATTGCGTAAAAGGGGGAATTGAAGGGATATAAATACAAATTAGCGATGGCACGACCCAGAACGTTCAACATATCAGTGTGCCTTTTAAACGGTTAAGTGAAACTGTAGGTTCCGTTATTGTTTTACGATCATGACGATAATCGCCAGCTGAATTCCACCTGAATTCCAAGTGCAATTAAACGTAGTCGAGACGAGAAGTTTGACTCTATTAGAGTAGCAGCTAGATTAGTCAAAGACTATTGCGACTGCTTTTTAACGAATCAGAAGTGTACGTTCAATTTCGCGTAGTATCAGATTTTTTCAAGGATCAGAGGTACAGATACTGTTTATGGGACCTTGTTGACCTTCAACGTATGCTGTGTGATCAGCATACTGACTTCCATTATAGTCAAAGTTATCAGAATGTAGTATAGACTCGTTCACTACCTAACCTAAATTTGAGTCATTCTATCATCATAGCAATGTTCTCATTATTACAAAATTAAGTCAACGCAATTATAGGCTGAATTTTTTAAACAATTTTCTTAACATGTAATCACTATAAATGGGTCTACTAAACAGTATTTTTTCTCTGTGAATATTAGGTGAAACTGAATGATTGAAGTAACGGTTTAATTAAAATTGTGTAAAGTTTGTTCTACAATAACGGGTCCGTCCATTACTGGAAAATATTTAAATGGTTTAACAGAAAGAGAATAATGTTGTTGTTTACTGAATATTGTTTAATATGTTCAATGTATAAATATTATATATGTATACACGTATGTACGGACGATATTGTCCAAAATAGATGTTTGCAGTTTGTATAGTTTGTACAAGTTTGCGAGGCTGTTGAAGGGCAAAGATTAACCTACGACCGATAACATAGCAGAACGATTTACTTTTAAGAAATCAGTTAATTAACACTTTGACTGGAACTGTAGAATTCTAATCGAACCAATCACTTATTGATTGTTCGATCGTTTAATCAAATTAAATTCACCGATGATTCATTAACAGTCAACGCGTTAATTACGACACGTTACAGTCTGAAACCTTGCATCTTCCATCGTTTAAATCTCGTTCCTTCGAATTTGGAATTTCTAAATTTGAATATTCACAGCAGTCTTCTCGCACTGCATTATCGGTAGCAGGTTACTGATCAAGCTCGTTAAATTCCTCTCCGAAATCTTTCTTTGCCTTTCAAAATTTCGACGAAATCAGAACGATATACGTACTCCAGCAAAAATTAGACAAGCGTGAATAGCGTGCCATTTACTGTATTTAATATTAACCGACGCGTGTACGATCTTCCCGCTAAGTCATTACAAAAAGCGCACGAAGGAAATTGCTGGTTCGACGTGCCTTGGATTGTGCACGCCCCTTGTGCCTTCTTTAGTCACTTGCGTGAAATAATAATTCTATACTGTTATCATTAACGATACATATATATATATATATATATATATACAATATATTTACATTCGTGTCCTAAGTGATCGAACGCTTTTTGCTCGACGATTTTCGACACGAATAACGATCGAGTTTTCTTTGCATATTGCAATTTTATTTCGAATGATGCTTTGTTCACGATAACAGCGCTCTGTGTTTCGTTTCGTTTAATCAGATCCGGGGCTGGAAAAAGGAAGTAAATGACTGTAATAGCCATTGGCGTAACTGGCTACGGACTGGCTTCATTCTGAATCCTATTGATTACTGCTTCACTTGCAGAAATTTGATATGTTATTTGCGTAGGCGTTTGATGCGTGGTAATTCGATGTGTGGATATTTGATGCGTTGCGAGTTGGCGCGTGGAGATATAAGCTGTAGTAATTCGACGCGTGGTAAATTCAATGCGTGGTGTATTCGACGCATGGTGTACTCCACACGTGGTAAATTCTACGCGTGGTAATTCGACGCGCGGTGTATTCGATGCGTGGTGTATTCGACGCATGGTGTACTCCACACGTGGTAAATTCTACGCGTGGTAATTTGACGCGTGGTGTATTTGACGCGTGGTATATTTGACGCGTGGTATATTCGACGCGTGGAGTATTCGACGCGTGGAGTATTCGACGCGTGGAGTATTCGATGTGTGGAAAATTCGGCGCGTGGAGTATTCGACGCGTGGAGAATTCGACGTGTGGAGTATTCGATGTGTGGAAAATTCGGCGCGTGGAGTATTCGACGCGTGGAGAATTCGACGTGTGGAGTATTCGATGTGTGGAAAATTCGGCGCGTGGAGTATTCGACGCGTGGAGAATTCGACGTGTGGAGTATTCGATGTGTGGAAAATTCGGCGCGTGGAGTATTCGACGATTCGACGCATGATGTATTCGACGCGTGGTGTATTCGACACGTGGTGTACTCCACACGTGGTAAATTCTACGGGTAGTAATTCGACGCGTGGTGTATTTGATGCGTGGTGTATTTGACGCGTGGTATATTCGACGCGTGGTAAATTCGACGCGTGGTAAGTTCTACGCGTAGTAATTCGACGCGTGGAATATGCGACGCGTGGTAAATTCGAAGCGTGGTGTATTCAACGCGTGGTGTATTCAATGCGTGGTAAATTCTACGCGTGGTAATTCGATGCGCAGTAATTCTACGCGTGGTAATTCGATGCGCAGTAATTCGGCGCGTGGTAATTCGATGCGCAGTAGTTCGGCGCGTGGTAATTCGATGCGTGGTGAATTCTACCCGTGATGTATTCAACATGTAATTCTACGCGTGGTAATTCCACGCATAATATCCACCGCGTGAAAATCTAAAGTTTAATGACATAACTCTTGATGTAATACCGATTCCACAAAGACAAGAATGTTAGTTACGCCAATGGTACCAGCTGATTTAAGAACGTTTGCGCCAAGTCGTAAAAAACGGAAGAAATGCAAACACGTACTATTTAAATGTTCTTTGACCCGGTTCTGATTATAAGAGATTCGCGTGACCGCCGGTCAGGAGACCATAAAGAGTCCTTCTTCGTTCTCGAATAACGAGTGTCAGCTTTCTCCTGAAACATTAACCGTGTCAACATGAAACGAACGTCAGCGTATAACGTCATTGCGTGTAACTAACAGGATAATTGTAATTATTATAACATTTCATTGGAGTTTCTGTATTTATTGTTGAACGCGTGAAAAGCAATCCGTATATGTATTTCGTAGCATCGACTGTGATATAACAAAAAAGAGAAAAAGAACATGGAAATAAATGACCGTGATAGTAGTCACGGCGATACGTTTGAATGTGTTGTATTCTATTCGAACCTTTATTCTTGTATCCTTTGTGATACTTTTGCAACAATAAATTGAGAACTTGAGATTTAGATTTTTTATCGGTTCTTCTTCAAATTTTCTTCATAGACTTTTGGGCTAGAGGGAAAGGACTCTGGTACTTTTCTAGTTAAAATATAAAAAACATAGCAGTAAATATTTGTCGACAATAAGAAAAAGATCGTATCGTAAATATTTATCAATTTATTGATTTCTTCACAAGACTACACGCTACCAATCATACACAGTATAGACGATCTCGATTTGCTCGTTAATCTTGGATTTTCTTATTGTTTTACACGTTGAGACGTTAATGAAACAGCAGATATTGTCAACAATCACAGATACTTTTCTTTGTTAGCCACGCGTTAAACGGATCTTTGCGCAAAGCCTCCAGGTTCGACGGAGAAAAATAATTTATTTACAAAACAGACGTAAACGTAGACTTCGTTTCACCGTTTTCGCTTTATCCTCTTCTTTCTTTTAAATCATCAGAAAAAATGCGTCGAAGTAAAATTAATGACAAAAAGAAAAGAATAAAGCGGAAGTCGAGCTCTTTGACAGAACAAAATGGAGTCGTGTTTACGTTTCAATAAAAAACATTGCTGATACAGCAAAATTAATCGAACATCATTGTAAAATAATCTGCTATTATTCCGATATTTCAATGCCAACTTTTTCTGTTTGAACACGTTCAAAACACGTGCGATTATTATTCAATTGTTAAACACAGCAGATTATTTTACAATGCAGATTTAACGCGGGTCAACAGTTCATATATTGTCTTCACGTTACATCGAGGTATGGTAACTATCCTGTAACACCATTAAATTTTCTTACATGATTCAACGACATTTAAAATTCTTTGTATTGTTTAATATTCGACCAGCGTTATCGATATGCTTTAACAACGTATAAGGAAATATATCGTACATGTTTGTAAACATATACATATATCTGTACATTTTTTTAAACATTCAACACCGTAGTTCATAAAACATCTTTCGCTTCTTAATTGACTAACGATAAAACTTGTTTCTTTGGAAGCTTACGACCTGATAATTCTTTCAAGGACAATCTGGATCTCGAGTGTATTAAAAAAAAATTACATTTGACAGTGTAAAAATGATGTGTGCATATTTTGTTCCAAGAAATATTTAACACACTGCAGAGTCCAGATATTAATTCGCTCAGACATCAAACCGTAGTTGCTATAAAAATAGTATGTATATAAACAACGTTTGCGTCGTTCGTTAATACTTATTTTGTACGTGGAAACAAATGTTAACATAATTCGTTGTAAAATACTCAAATCGAACGTTCGTGCTTTGAAAAAACAGTTTCACCTAATTTCAAACATAAACCGAGTTAATCACTCTTGGAGCTAGTAATCGACCGAGTTTAACGAAGACTCGGCTCGCAAATTGAATTCCTCGCTAATTTCACGCATTCCGAGCCGCTAAATTGCTTCGACAAAATATATCCTCAATTTTCCCCTATCGAAAGACTGCTAAGAGCGTACACATCGACTTGAAATATCACAATCTATTCTCTTTATCATAATGACACCTTGAAATTAAAAAATAGTATTCTAAACAAATCTTTCGAGTCAGTCCTGTTGCAAAGGAGCAACCTTTCAAACGCTTTAACATTCGAATACCGTAACAACATTTCCGAGTTAAATCTCTGATAGAATTCACGACAAAAGTAACAGGGAAGCACCGTTTGTTAGGCTTGATTCTTCATGAAGATCAAACAGGAAACACTATCATCTAGCTTAAAACACGTACAGGTAACGAGAATGAGTCAACGGATGCATAGCATCGCGCCTCGCGTAGGATCTAATCTAAAAGTATTATTGTCGATATCACCGTTTCTGTCACATCTTCGTGAAAGACTTCTGATTTCACGAAACGCTTAACAACTTCGATTCAGAACCACTGTACTGGGTTTTGAGTGATTTTAGGTGAAGAGGATTCAGTACTGTTGCTATATCTATGGCCACGTGTGATGTATTGGATTACTATGACGAATATCATGTATTAGATTACCATGAGATCACCACGTGTTAGTCGAGTTAGCTCACCATGTGTGACTGGTGTGCATCAAATTATTTTTGTAATCACAATATTAATGCCACGTGTAGAAATATTCGTAGTAACGTGTAGTTATTACGTAGTTATACGTTTGAATGCGTAGCGAATGTGTGGCATCACACGTGGTAATGCAACGCAAGGTGATTACATACGTAGCGATTACATGCGTGGCAATTCAAAGTTTGAATATTCTATGCGTGGTGATACTACGCGGGAGTGTATCACGCAATGTGATACTACGCGTGGATATTTAACGCGTGGATGTCTAACGCGTGCATATCTGACGCGTGGATATCTAACGAGTGGATGTCTAACGCGTGGATATCTGCCGCGTGGATATCTAACGCGTGGACATCTAACGAGTGGATGTCTAACGCGTGGATATCTAACGAGTGGATGTCTAACGCGTGCATATCTGACGCGTGGATATCTAACGCGTGAACATCTGACGCGTAGATGTCGAACGAGTAGGTATCTGACGCATGATTATCTAACGCATAGATATCTAACACGTGGACATCTAACGAGTAGATGTCTAACGCGTGGATATCTAACGAGAGGATATCTGACGTGTGGAAATCTAACGAGTGAACATCTGACGCGTAGATGTCGAACGCGTAGGTATCTGACGCGTGGTTATCTAACGCGTAGATATCTGACGCGTGAATATCTAACGAGTGAATACCTAACGCGTAGATATCTGACGCGTGAATATCTAACGCGTGGGTATCTGCCGCGTGGATGTCTAACGCGTGGATATCTAACGAGTGGATGTCGAACGCGTGCATATCTGACGCGTGGATATCTAACGCGTGAACATCTGACGCGTAGATGTCGAACGAGTAGGTATCTGACGCATGATTATCTAACGCATAGATATCTAACACGTGGACATCTAACGAGTAGATGTCTAACGCGTGGATATCTAACGAGAGGATATCTGACGTGTGGAAATCTAACGAGTGAACATCTGACGCGTAGATGTCGAACGCGTAGGTATCTGACGCGTGGTTATCTAACGCGTGAATATCTAACGAGTGAATACCTGACGCGTAGATATCTGACACGTGAATATCTAACGCGTAGGTATCTAACGCGTGGATATCTAACGCGTAGGTATCTGGCGCGTGAAAATCTAACGCGCATAATATTTAAAACGTACAGTAATGCATTACATCACCAGCTAATGATCAAACGTAACCGTAACGCATAGTAATTGCCAGTATAATCGGAATGTGTAATATTTAACGAATACATAGCAACCGCCGCGCATCATGTCACCAAACGCAATAATTACACAGCGTACTCTCATAGTAATCTCTACACGTATTCTGCGCAATAATTCCTAATATCAACAAAACTCACACACAGTAATCGCTACACGTAATCACATATTGCATCGAATCAAAGCTCTGAATTCTCAACATCATCCAAACCTCAAAGCTTATAAAAAAGCAAACATTTTAGACATTTCTGTACCCTATCAGGGTAATCTTCAAATAAGACTAATACTGTATACAGAGAATAAATGATCCTACGAATACTGCGCCGAAAGTCTTAACTTAAAACTATAATATGTTGAAGCTTAATTTGCTTTGTGTTTTCTTGATGAGGTGTGCGGATGTTATCCAGACGCTATGGGAACATTCCACGATGTTAACAGTCATTGCAATTTGAACAATCAATAATATTACCGGATGTGCAATGATGTCAGAGATTTAACGATTTTGACATGTGACAGCTTCATGGAATATTCCAACGCGATTTCAGATCTTGAACCATTATCACTCATTTATCACTCGTCTTCCGGTTGATTGTATTCACTCGAAATCTTTCTATATTTAAAGGTACGAATTCATCAAGGTCTGATGAGGCGATAGCTTAACAGTTAGACAGTGATAACGTGTCTGAGAGAAGCGAATCATGTGAATACAATACAGTGGTTCCACAATAAAATCTGAAGAGACTGGCTTTTAATGGCTCATTTTTACCTTCTGCAATTATTTACTGAGTAAATAATTTTTGAGGAGTAAATAATTGCAACTGTTTAGAAAGGTCTCTCGCATAGACCACGGAGGTTCCTGCTAATTCGTATATCAAACCGGAAGATTGAATTAAAACTTGGCATTCTGCCTTCGAAGATCGTTGGGAATGATGGTCGTGAGGAAGCAGCCGAGGGCGAGCGTGACACACAGGCCAATATTCGCCCAGAAATTACCCCAGATGTTCATGGTACATCCGTAGAGGCTCGTGAAGGCGATACCGAACACTTGACACACTGCGTTCAGTAAACCGGCTGAGGTTCCTTCCGGTTCCGGGTATGTCAGCTCTGCAGCCAACTCGAAGCCCACGGGTAGATAACCGGTCATGAAGAATCTGAAAAATATTAATTTATAAATTAGATAAATATAAACACAGCTTAGTAAATATATTAAACTATAAATATACATAAGTATTTTCGTACTTTTCATAAGTATTGGAATATTTCCAATAAATGCTTACCCTAATAGGCCTGCCGTTATGTAAATAACGTATATTCGACCGGTGTCCAAAGTGAACGTGAACACAATCATCCCAAGGAAAGAAAAGAGGTACACTCCCAACGTTGTCTCTCTGGAAACGAAATTGATATTAGAGTTCTAATTTAAGAAACAAGGTTGTATAATATTCACTCACTTAAATTTGTGCGTTTTGTCCAAGACGATACCGCACACTACTGAACCTAACATTCCGGCGCAGACGATGGTCAAACCGATTCGACCAGCATCTTTCTCATGATTCTGGAAATAAAAATACATATTAAATAACAAGGACAGTTGATTAAAAATGGCTAATGAAAAATTCACTCACCGGGAAATAGTCGAGCACTATCTGATTCAAGAGAGTGCTGATGGCGTAGAAAACGCCGACGTTGATACCGTAGCTGAGTAACAGCAACAGATAACCAACGTTTGTGACTAGCTTCTTAACTGACTGGAAGAAACTTTCCGTGGATTCTGCTTCTCTTTGGACTGCCTGGGCTGGACTTGGGGGCAGGGGTGGTTCAGACTTGAAAACTGAAATGACATTTCTGTTAATAATATCGTTGGAAATGGTATAATTGCGTGTTGGATCCCTACACGTTAGATTTCAAGGCATTAGGTCGCTACGCATTAGATTTCCACGTGGTAGTTATCCAACCGTTAGATATCTACACGTTAGATATTTACACGTTAGATATCCACGCGGTAGTTATCCATCCGTTAGATATCTACGCGTTAGATATTTACACGTTAGATATCCACGCGTTAGATATCCACGCGTTAGTTATTCACTCATTAGATATCCACTCGTGAGGTATCCACGCGTTAGATATAAACGCATTAGATATCCACGCGTTAGATTTCCACGCGTTAGATTTTCACATGTTAGTTATTCCCTCATTAGATATCCATTCGTCAGGTATCCACGCGTTAGAAATCTACGCGTTAGATATTTATACGCATTAGATTTCCATGCATTAGATTTCCATGCGTTAGATTTCCACGCATCAGATACATTTCGCGTTAAATATCCACTCGTCAAGTATCCACGCGTTAGATATTTATACGCATTAGATTTCCACGCGATAGTTATCCATCCGTTAGATATCTATGCGTTAGATATCCACGCGTTAGATATTTACACGTTAGATATCCACGCGTTAGTTATTCACTCATTAGATATCCACTCGTCAGGTATCCACGCGTTAGATATAAACGCATTAGATTTCCACGAATTAGATTTCCACGCGTTAGATTTCCACGCATTAGATTTCCACGCGTTATTTATTCCCTCATTAGACATCCACTCGTCAGGTATCCACGCGTTAGAAATCTACGCGTTAGATATTTATACGCATTAGATTTCCACGCGTTAGATTTCCATGCATCAGATACATTTCGCGTTAGATATCCATGCGTCAGGTACCTACGCGCCAGATATCTACACGTCAGATATCCACGCGTAGTATCATAATATTAGGAGTACCGAAAAGTAATCAAAATTTCTTCAATGATTTCAAAGTTTTTCTATGAAAAACCGGAGGACTTTTTTTTAGAAGGGAACAGTTGCCTTTACGCTGCCAAAAAGCGTTATAAAGTGATGGAAATTATTTTGTTGATTTAAGATTTCTTTAATAAATAAATATTTTTCGCCAGCAAACAAAAGTTTGATTACTTTTCGGTACCCCTAATATATGGTACTGCCCCGCGTTGTACCGCCACGCATAAAATATTCACGCGTTGGATTACCACGCATGGAATCGCTACATATGTAATTACCTTGCGTTATATTACCACGTATGAAATTCTGAAACGAGGAATTGTCATACGAGGAATTACCACGCGTGAAATTGCTGAGCGTAAAATTGTCATACGAGGAATTACCAAGCGTGAAATTACAATGTGCACAACCAAGCTGTATAAAGAACTCTCGTAATACCATCCGTGGCAATATAACAAGAGCTATACCTCATATCTGAGCAAACTGAATTACTAATGAAAAATCACTAAAAAAATACGGCTTAATCAGTGTTAAGAATATACTTACAGATAAGAATGAGGGCTAAAATGACGGTGGTAAAAATAGCGACGATGTAGAACATAATTTGCAATCCCCGTCCAATCACATTGTGGTCCTCACTGTTCGAAACGAGCATCGGTGGAAATAGAAATCCCATGGCTATTCCCAGCTGCAAATATAAAATTATCGATAAAAGATCGATGATAGTGCTTGATCTATTCCGTGTAAACATCGCGTGCTCGCGACGGAATCAGTGTCGTTCAGAAAAGACGCTGAACGTTCATTATCATTATTTCAAGGAAGTAAGAGATCATTATTCTTTTCAGCCCATCAGTGACGATTCCAGCGAGAGTTCCGCTGTTGAAAGCTTGCCTGGAAGCGTGACAGCCTTCCATGGTGTTACGAGAACACCATCGACGACAAGGTCAATCGTCCAATTTCGTAATTCCACGTTAAGTATGTTACTTATGCACTCTTATCGCCTACACTTAAATGCCACGGTTACAGTGACGGAATCTTTGTTCAAATTCCTTCACAAATATAATATTAACTCTTACTTATGTTATATTATTTGCATCATAATTTAGAACTGGAGACAATTTAGGTTCTGTTCTTGTGAGTCATGTCTGAAGTCGCAAGATCTAATTCGTGGTTCAATGTACCTTTGTAACCTTGAATATTTAAAACTTAAAATGGCGGTTTTTATGTTTGATCATTGATATATTTCTACGTCTTTATTGATGAGGAATTAGTTACAAATTATTTTTGATAGTGATCTCATAGTACGAATTAAAATTTTAATGAATCAATAGCAGCACGAGAACTTTTTGACGTGGAATTTAGGGATTTGGTGAATTGAGAAATTGGGGAATGTGGAAATTGGACAATGAGGGAATTGGAGAAGGTGGAAATTGGACAATGTGGGAATTGAATTTGGTGAACAGAGAAAATGGAGAATATGGAGGAATATACGGAGGAATATATGAGGGAATATGTGGATTAGGAAATGTGGAAATTGGACAATATTGGAATTAGACAATGTGGAAATTGGACAATGTTGAAATTGGACAGTATTGAAATTAGACAATGCAGGAATTGGGGAATGTGGAAATTGGACAATGTGGGAATTGAATTTGGTGAATTGAGAAAATGGAGAATATGGAGGAATATACGGAGGAATATATGAGGAAGTATGTGGATTAGGAAATGTGGAAATTGGACAGTATTGGAATTAGACAATGTGGAAATTGGACAATGTCGGAATTAGACGATGTAGGAATTGGGGAATGTAGAAATTGGACAATTTGGGAATTGGACAATATGGGAATTGGACAATGCAGGAATTGGACAATGTGGGAATTGGAGAAAGTGGGAATTGGACAATATGAAATTGGACAATGTGGGAATTGTACAATATGGAATTGGGGAATGTGGGAATTGGGGAATGTGGAATTGGGGAATGTGGAATTGGAGAATATGGAATTGGACAATATGGAATGGGGGAATGTGAAATTGGAGAATGTGGAAATTGGGATATATGGAATTGGAAAATGTGGAAATGGGGAATGTGGAATTGGGGAATGTGAAATTGGACAATGTGGGAATTAGAGAAAGTGGGAATTGGACAATATGGAATTGGGCAATATGGAATTGGAGAATATGGAATTGGGGTATGTGGAATTGGAAAATGTGGGAATTTGGGAATGTGAAATTGGGGAATGTGGAATTGGGGAATGTGGGAATTGGCAATGTGGGAATTGGAGAAAGTGGGAATTGGACAATATGGAATTGGAAAATATGGAATTGGGGAATGTGAAATTGGACAATGTGGGAATTGGGGTATGTGGAATTGGAAAATGTGGGAATTGGGAAATGTGGGACTGGGGAATCTGGAGTTGGGAAATGTGAGAATTGGAAAATGTGGAAATTGGGTAATATGGGAATCTGGAAATATGGGAATTGGGGAATATTGAAATCTGGAAATGTGTGAATTAGGGAATGTGAGAATTAGGAAATATGGGAATTGGGAAATTAAATCTTTCACGTTACAGTTTCTTCAGTGCCATAAACGTAAAGCATCAAATATCAGTATCTGATCTTATAACTCCAACAAATCCTACTCTCACAAATGCAAAGAATTCAAAGCAAAAATTTCAAAAACTTTCCAAAGAATCAAACAGCTGACCATCGATGAACTTAACAAATGTTCAAACATGTTAACACTGCGTATATCCTGAAGCAGTGTATTCCGCATTATTCGTCGCAAACAATCGCTATAAAGCACTTTGAATTCATTGAATGGAGAAGGGTTGAATCGCAACGGCTGTTGAAGCTACGCTCGTTTAATTCGTCTGATAGGGACCAGATCCCCTATCGGCACCGCGGAATGAAACGTGGGTGCATGCTGCGACTCTGTTTCCCACCTAATCACGGCTTAACTCACCGACGACCCTGTCGATCGAATTAGAATTCTGTCGGTGTCCCAGACAGGTAGTGTACACTCGAGATCCATTACGATCCTCCAAGTTAACCTGTTATCACTGGTTAACTCGTTATTCTAGTCAAACATTATCTTGCTATATTTTTACGAGTTGTAGTTCGAGATATTATTTACAATTTTTATAATTTTATTCAAATTTTGGAGTTCAAGTTGAACATCGAGTGCTTTACTTTGGTCTTCAAATTAGAGTTCAAACGCTTCATTTTGGGGTTCAAATTGGAGTTTAAATTGGAGGTCAAATGCTTTATTCTGGAGTTTAAATAGGAGTCCAAATATAATTATTTGCATAGTTGTTTGATACCAAACTGATATAACATTTTAACTTCTAACTAATTCAGAAAAAGAGATCAGTACATTTATCATAACATGTTTCTGTCTTCAATCAACTTCAATAAACTTCTAAACAGAAATGTTTAGAATATGTATATTATAATATTGTATATTTAAAATGATTTTTACTAATACTTGAAATTTTGAGTAAATTTGATATTGATCACAAGAAATTTGTATGTAAACTGTGGTATCAATATATAATGTAATTATGGAGTAATCGTTAACAAAGTTTGACTGACCTGATTTCCGAAAACGCCGATGCTACACGCACTGCTAACCTGATCCGGACCAAACCAAACAGCTGCTAAACGCGCTGGTACGGATAGGATAAACGTTTGACTTAATGCGACAACCGTTTGCCCGATGAATGTTATCCAAAAATGATTTGGATTCACGCTGCACACTTTGATCCAGGAACCGAGCGCTGTACCGACTGCTCCGCTTACTACGGCGAATCTTAGGCCCTGGAATTGATATAAATTTGCGGTGTAGTGGTTGTACAAATTTGTAGACTTTTAAATTTTTTAATTTTCAAGTTTTCCCAATTCCTACATTCCCCAATTCCACATTTTGCAATTCAAACATTCCCCAATTCCACATTCCCTAATTCCCACATTCTGTAATTCCACATTCCTCAATTCCCACATTCCCCAATTCCGCATTCCGAAATTCCATATTCTCCAATTCCCACATTCCCCAATTCCACATTCTCCAATTCCCACATTTCCAGATTCCCATATTCCCCAATTCCACATTCCCCAATTCCACATTCCCCAATTCCACATTCCCCAATTCCACATTCCCCCACTCCCACATTCCCCAATTCCACATTTTTCAATTTTTACATTCCCCAATTCCACATTCTCCAATTTCTACATTCCCCAATTCAACATTTTCCAATCCCACATTCCCCAATTCCACATTCTCCAATTTCCACATTTCCCAATTCCATATTCCCCAATTCCCACATTGTCCAATTCCCACGTTGTCCAATTCCACATTGTCCAATTCCATATTGTCCAATTCCCACATTTCCTAATCCACATATTCCCTTATATATTCCTCCGTATATTCCTTCATATTCTCCATTTTCTCAACTCACTAAATTCAATTCCCACATTGTCCAATTCCCATATTGTCCAATTCTATATTGTCCAATTCCCACATTGTCTAATTCTCACATTGTCCAATTCCTACATTGTCTAATTCCCATAGTGTCCAATTCCCACATTGTGAAATTTCCACATTTCCCAATTCCTACATTGTCTAATTCCAATATTGTCCAATTCCTACATTGTCTAATTCCAATATTGTCCAATTCCCACATTGTCCAATTTTCACATTTCCTAATCCACATATTCCCTCATATACTCCTCCGTATATTCCTTCATATTCTCCATTTTCTCAACTCACTAAATTCAATTCCCACATTGTCCAATTCCCACATTGTCCAATTCCTACATTGTCCAATTCCCATATTGTGTAATTTCCACATTCTCCAATTCCTACATTGTCTAATTCCAGTATTGTCCAATTCCCACATTCCCCAATTCCAATATTGTCCAATTCTAATATTGTTCAATTTCCACATTTCCTAATCCACATATTCCCTCATATATTCCTCCATATTCTCCATTGTCTCAATTCACCAAATCCGTAAATTTCCAAATTCCCCACTATTTCTCCTCAAATCCGTGAAACTCATTCAAAATCGAAAACACGAGGCACTCGAGATAAGACACTTCTAAAATACGATTTCTCGCCCGATAATCGCGCGATGACCTAACAGCTCGTCGCGTATTCGATATCAAACGTCGTACTTACGAACTTGTCGAGCAGATAGCTGGCTGGAAATATGAAAGGTATATACGTGATCATGTATATCATGCTGGTCATGTCCACCAAAAAACTGGTCACGCCATAATATGCCACCACGATGTTCGCGATGATGCTGTATTGGATCCATTGCATCGCGTTGCTGGAACTGTACAGCACGAAGATCATCAGGATTAGCCATCTTCGTTTGTAAACTTTTGTTTCGGCCTGGAACGTTATGATTAATGTTTTTGTTACCTAATTGTAGTTCATTAAGTTTTTTTTGCCTGAATAATATTGTTTGTAACCTGATGATTCAGGGAGTTTTAAGGATTCAGATAGTTTAGGTTTTTGAAGTTTTTGGATTCTGGATTCTAATTAAATTCTGGGACTTAACAGTAGGACTTATGATGTCTGGTTTAACGCAATTTATAAAATTTCTGCTGCTTGTGTTACATCAAGTTCTGGAAATTTAAGGTGTCTAGGTAACCTTGAACATTAACATTCTAGATACCTAGATAATCTTGAGTGTTCACATTTCTGGTATCTAGGTAACCTTGAGAGCTAACATTTCTGATACCTAGGTAACCTTGAGTGCTAACATTTCTCATACCTAGGTAACCTTGAGTGCTAACATTTCAGATACCTAGGTAACCTCGAGTGCTAACATTTCAGACACCTAGGTAACCATGAGTGCTAACATTTCTGGTACCTAGGTAACCTTGAGTGCTAACATTTCTCATACCTAGGTAACCTTGAGTGCTAACACTTGAGATACGTAGGTAACCTTGAGTGCTAACATTTCAGATACCTAGGCAACCCTCAGTTCTAACATTTCAGATACCTAGGTAACCTTGAGTGCTAACATTTCTCATACCTAGGTAACCTTGAGTGTTAACACTTGAGATACCTAGGTAACCTTGAGTGCTAACACTTGAGATACCTAGGTAACCTTGAGTGCTAACATTTCTCATACCTTGGTAACCTTGAGTGCTAACATTTCTCATACTTAGGTAACCTTGAGTGTTAACACTTGAGATACCTAGGTAACCTTGAGTGCTAACACTTGAGATACCTAGGTAACCTTGAGTGCTAACATTTCTAATACCTCGATAAGCTTGCGTGCTAACATTTCAGATACCTGGATAACCTCGAGTGCTAACATTCCTGATACCTAGGTAACCTTGAGTTCTAACATTTCTGGTACCTAACGTACCTATAACAATAACTTGTGGTAAAATACCTTCATCATTAAAATTTCTAGTACCTAACTTTCAAGATCTTCTTAGATTCAATACCTAAGTTCTTTCATACTCATACTTTGCTACTTTGGTACCCTTTACAACCAAAGCTTAAACTTCCATCGACAATAAATTTTCTCTCATCAAAATTCCCTTTGATGTAGATCTTACGTTACCTGAATTGACTGGAATTATAAATACCTTACTCTACATTACTCCAACATAAATTGCACCTAATCTAATTCACCCTCAAAGAAACCTATCTGTTCCCATACTTAAAAAATTGAACTTCACAACACAACAAAGAAACAGTTTTATTCTTCACAAGTTAACAAATACAGAAAGTTTGAAATTTATAATTTTCTCATTTCCAATTCTGCACCCAGAAGGTATTAGTCACCTGAGTCGGTTGAACGCCACTTTCCATGGCCTTCACGTAGTCCGCCGTGTTTTTCACCATTTTCGCGTCTTGTCCTTGCTCCATAATTTACAAGAAAGCCGATTCACTCGAATCAATTATTAAATACCCCTGGTCGTTACCGCTGCCACTTCGACTTTCAATCTTTTATCAATACTCCGCTCGATTGTTCTTCGAATTTTAATCGAGCTGATCGCCTGTAAAAATACGAACAAAGAACGAACGGGTTTGATTACACGTAACGACGTTGCTATCGATCAAGTACACCCAGTGTGGATGTTAATGAATTTGCCGGGTTTAGAGTACCAATTAGCGGCGAGCTTTTCTCTTGGCTTCGTTACTTGGACAACGAATTTCCAGATTAACGAGGAGAGATGAAGTAGGCTTCTGGACGAGTTGTCGCTTTTTTTAGACACGTACCACGAATAGGAAATCGACTTTCGGCTCTGGGATTAGGGTCTCTGCTGCGATGTTTTTTTAGTTGGACTTCTGTCTGGATGTAAATTAGAGGAACAATGAAAGTGTATTATATATTATAATGGGGTTAGATATCCACGCGTTAGATTTCCACGCATTAGATTCCCACGCATTAGATTTCCACGCGTTAGATTTCCAAGCGTTAATTATTCACTCGTCAGGTATCTACGCGTTAGATATTTATACGCATTACATTTCCACGAATTAGATTTTCACGCATTAGATTTGGACGCGTTAGATAACTACGCGTTAGATATCCACGCGTTAGATTTCCAGATTAACGAGAAGAGATGAAGTAGTCTTGTGACGAGTTGTCGCTTTTTTTAGACACGTACCACGAATAGGAAATCGTCTTTCGGCTCTGGGATTAGACTCTTTGTAGCGATGTTTTTTTGCTTGGACTTCTGTCTAGATGTAAATTAGGTGAACAATGAAGGTATACACAATGGTATAGTACAATGAGAGGCAATATGTTATAATGTTTACTTCCATTCGTTAGCTGATTGCAATCAGTTGTCATTCTTTTGGAAATTATTTTTTATCAAAAAACTTGAGTGTAACACTACAGAACTTATCAAAAAACTCGTCCATTCAACCACACAATATTTTCAGATTAGATTAAAAAAAGAGTGAATAATGTGACGTTAAAATGCTCAATGTAAAGTTCATGGAAAATTTCGTCAAGCATATACAAACAGATCAATACAGTGTTTGTGAATGAATAATCGATGAATTATTTATAAGCCCGTAATAAGTTTTTCTCTGTGGAATGTGTCATATAGTTCGTAACGATTGCGCAATCGGCGATTATCGATCGAGTCGAGAATAATTGACGATCGTGCGTTAATGAAAATCAACGTGCAAATTCGTTCCGGACGAAATCGACGTTTTCCTTTGTGTTAATCCGGCCGTCGTTGAGGAGCTTATAAAGTACGATAAATTTTGACGATATCACAGATTCTTTTCATTTAATGAGCGATTTAATTGTCAATTAATTGCGATTTATTTCAAGCGTTATTCGCTGGAAATAATACATTAAGGATCGGTAGAAAATTTTGATAAAGATGATTAATGTTCTGGGAGATTATACTTTGTTCGTGTTATTTTACTTCATTTATAACGAGAAGTATTAAGCAGTAAAATTTTCTGATTCCAAGTTTCGAATTTTACTAGATTTTCTTTGTTTTTCAATTTAAAAGCGGGTAAATTTAATTTGTCGTTGCAAGTGTAATAGTTCTAGAGTTACAATGTTTCTTTTTCTATAAAATAAGTGTTGTTAAATAATATATTAGATTCCAATAATAAATATAGCAAGGTTTAATATTATCTTTGGTTCACTTGCAGTCTTTACATATTTACAATGATTAATTTATTCATTTTTGCAAGGAAGTTCTAAGGTGGTCTCTTGTGTAAGTTAGAGATACTTGAATCCACGGATATAAACTTGTGGTATAGGAATCTATACAGGGTGTCTCATAACTAGTGTAACTACTTCAATTAGGTGCTGGGGTTCGAGATTCTGAACAACTTTTCCCTTTGCAAAAATTCGCTCTGAAGCTTCGTTTTTGAATTATTAAGGAAAAACACGGACCAATCGGAGCGCAAGGATTACGCGCGCTCAGCCGATAGGCTCGAAGCTGCCGCTCTCGCGTCTGCCCACGTGTAATCCTCGCGCTCTGATTGGTGCAAGACTCTCACTGGTACTGATTGGTACCTCTACACTAACTGTGAGACACCCTCTATATTAACCATTGCCGTCTGCGCACGCGTAATCCTCGCGCTCTGATTGGTACACGACTCTCATTGGTACTGATTGGTGCCTACACTATCTGTGAGACACCCTGTATATTAACCATTGCCGTCTGCTCATGTGTAATCCTCGCGCTCCAATTGGTCCGTGTTTTTCCTTAATAATTCAAAAACGAAGCTTCAAACCCCATTTTTGCAAAAGGAAATCTTGTTCAGAATCACGTCAGCCCCATTTCAGGGACCTCCACTAGTTGTGAGACACCCTGTATACGTCATTTACACTTGATATCAATTTCTGTATTTTCAGTGGAACAGTACTTAATACACACTGCTTCATGAATTACAGGTGACTCCAATGTTTATTAAGACAACGTCAGTGGTTTCAATACATTTGTTCATTTTTGAAAAGCAAGGCTCTGTGTTGATGTCATCTTTGGTTCACTTGGTGTCTTTATATAATTGCAATGGTGTTTTCAATAAATTTGTTCATTTTTGCAAAGGAAGTACAAAGGTGGTCTCTTGTGTAAGGAACTTCCTATCATTTTTATATAATTGTAATTTATAGTGGTTTCAATACAGTTGTTCATTTTTGAAAAGCAAGGTTCTGTGTTGATGTCATCTTTGGTTCGTTTGTAATCTTTATATATTTGCAATAGTGTTTTCAATAGATTTGTTCATCTTGTAAAAGCAAGATTGAGTATTGATGTCATGTTTGGTTCACTTGTAGTCTTTATACATTTGCAATAGTGTTTTCAATAAATTTATCCATTTTAGAAAAGCAAGGTTCAGTATTGATGTCATGTTTGGTTCATTTGTAGTCTTTATACATGTTTTCAATAAATTTGTTCATTTTGTGAAAGCAAAGTTCAATGCTGATGTCATCTGTGGTTCACTTATAGTCGTCTTTATACATTGTAATAATGTTTTCAGTAAATTTGTCCATTTTTTAAAAACAAGCTTCAATTAACTATTTGCAATGTTGAGACACTTGCACTATACACATATAAAATTTTCAATATATTCGTTCATATTTTAAAAACAAGTTTCAGAGTTCATGTTATCCTTGATTCACTTGTAATCTTTATACATTTGCAATTATACATTTGCTTTCAATAAATCGATTCATTTTCAGAAAGTAAAAAAAGTGTCTAAATTAAAAAACAAAATTAATCTTCATCCCCTTTGAAACGAAAGCGATATTTGCGTGAAAAAAACTTGCGAACCAATTTAATAAAGCGGGATTAAAAACCTAATAACAGAAGTTAAGTCATAACTCCAATATTTGTGCACGTGTTAAGCATAGTTGGAAACTTCCAGTTTCACCGGTGGATAAAATATATAATTACTGATAGTTTGACGTAGAAATGGCAGCTATCCTGGGGTTTGTGGATCGAAGATGTAACATGATCGAATATTTTATTACCGAGGGAGAACTGCTGTAAAAGCTTCCTGAGAACTTTCCTTCGAGAGGCTTGATCGATATTTCCCCGTTGAAAAAATAACGTCCCTGGCTTTAGGGATTAAACCACTTTTCTCGATTTGATCAGAATGAATAAACAGTGCAAGTTTAAAGATTATAAATCACCAGGATATTATATTATCTTACAAGATAATGTCGATACAAGGTAATATTCTTGCGAGATAATATTCTGGAAAAATTCGTGTTGAAAGAAAACAACCGCGAAAACAAAATAAATTGTTCAGACGCATCGGATAATATTGTTGAAGCTGTTCGAGTAATAAATGCGTCAGCGTTTTTACCTCTTTTTCTAAAGTTTGAAAGGTGTGCGTCAGACACCTGCGTGTGGACATTAAAAAGCTATAAACGTCGGGGCTTTTAAGCTAGCGCTGTGACGAATAACCAGGCAACTTTATAGGAAATCGATGGAAGCTCGATCGCGGATTCGACGCCAGTTTCATCTGGATTCCGATGTTTTAGGGTCAAGGATCATAGGATGTATCTGACGTGGACATCGAAACACCAGATTCTTCCTACTTCAACTTATTTACTTTCATTTATTCTCGATAACAGGAAAACCATCGACATGAATACCATGCGTCACATATTATACGGAGATCTCAAAGCGATTATGGAAATTTTTCGTCTAAGAAGAAACCGCGAAAATTGATACACATAAAACCTTAACACATTATTGAAAGATTTTAAATGAAAAATTATTTAAAAAATTATTAAATGATTAAATAAAAGTTATTAAATAAAAATGATTAAACAAAAATTATTAAATAAAAATGATTAAATAAATTTTAAATTAATTTAATAATTTAATAAAAAGAAATAACTGATGGAGTCTTAAAGAAATTGAAAGAGGAAAAAAATAAAATTCACCGAAGGTTCATAAAAGCTTGCCGGACAGCAAAGAAATAATTGCAGAGAAATGTGAATGAATATAAATTTAAATCGGTTACGTCTGTCGATAAGACAAGATTGAAAGAAATTTTGAGATGCCCCGGCAGATTTTTCCTTTTACGAAATTAGAGAAAAGACTTGTTTTTGAGCAAGTTATCGAGGTTCAATGAAATCTGTAGAAAACAAAATACTCGACGGCGACTCTGTTGATCTTTATGCTACGAGACAACTACGAGATCGTTTGACGTATAACGTAATCGATGTTTTGAAAGCTAATCGTGATAAGAATGTGAAGGCAATACAACATTCCGGATGCTTCCAATCCCTATCACCCGATTATTTCGAGTTTAATCAGAGATATTCAGATATCGTACGAGTTACAATATCTCTATTAGCTCTTCTCGAACACCTCTGGTAATAAATAAAACATTTGGAGTTATTGAAAGTATTGGCATATGAAATTGCGAGATTCGAGCATAGGTTCATTAATTTCGATTCGAAGAGTTAATTCCATTTTCCGACTACTTTACTTATTTGCAGAAATTTCACGCGAGCGATCCAATTACGTATGCATTATATATAGCTAGCCAATCTCAAAAGATAACTCGATTTACGAACCACTTTGCCGAAAGTCTGATTCGCGACCTCCACTATCTTCGAAACCTCCAATTTAGTAATTCAATAATTCACCAATAGCCTTTTGGCCTATTAATTACACGTAACTCCAAAACGTAACTCGATATTCCTATCACTTTATTCAAAATCTCATTCGTCAACCTATATAACTCGACAGGAGAATGTTGGTCATACAACGCGAGAGTGTGTGATAATGCGAGTGGCGATACAAGGTGCGGAATGGTACGTGACGAAAGAGAGAGAGGTGATATAGAACGAGGGTCGACATAACGTGTGGTAACGAGTACAGAATACGTGGTAATATTACGTATGGCGATATAACGCGTGGTAACTTGATGCATGGCGATATAACGTGTGGTAATTTGATGCGTGGCGATATAACGCGTAGTAACTCGAAGGGTCGTGATATAACATGTAATACTACAGAATGCGTGGAATTCTTGCAAATGGCGATATAACACGTGGTAACTTGGTACGTGGCGATATAACGCGTGGTAATTTGATGCGTGGCGATATAACGCGTAGTAACTCGAAGGGTTGTGAAATAACATGTAATACTACAGAATGCGTGGAATTTTTACAAATGGCGATATAACACGTGGTAACTTGGTACGTGGCGATATAACGTGTGGTAATTTGATGCGTGGCGATATAACGCGTTGTAACTCGAAGGGTGGTGATATAACATGTAATAATACAGAATGCGTGGAATTCTTGCAAATGGCAACATAACGCGTAGTAACTCGATGCATGGCGATATAACGCGTGGTAACTTGATGCGTAGCTATATAACGCGTGGTAATTCAAAGGATGGTAATATAACGTGTAGTACTACAAACTGTGTGATCATTATACATTTGGCAATATATCGCGTGGTAATTTGGTGCGTGGCAATATAACGCGTAGTAACTCGAAGGGTCGTGATACAATGCGTGGAAGTATTACGCGTGGCAATATAACGTGAAGGAATTCCAAGCGTGGCGATATAACGCGTACGAATTCCAAGCGTGGCGATGTAACGCGAGGAAATTTTAAGCGTGGCGATATAACGCGTGGTAACTTGGTGCGTGGCGATATAACGAGAGGAAATTTCAAGCGTGGCGATATAACGCGTGGTAACTTGGTGCGTGGCGATATAACGCGAGGAAATTCCAGGCGTGGCGATACAACGCGTGGTAACTTAGTGACTGGCGACATAACCCGTAGTAACTCGAAAGATGGTGATATAACATGTAATACTACAGAATGCACGGTAATTTTACGTGCGGCGATATAACGCGTGGTAACTTGATGCTTATCGATATAACGCGTGTTAACTTAATGCGAAGAGATGTAACGCGTGATAACTCGATACGTGATTATATAAAGTGTCGAAATCAGTACGTGAGGCGACACAGCGGGTGGTAATATAAATCGCGAGGTAGCTCGACGTGAGGCGATATAACGCACAGTAACTCCAATTATGATAATTCAATGCGTGACGGTATAACGCGTGATAATCCAATGTGTCGTGATGCAACGTATGGTACTGTGGAACGTGAGGCGATACAATTGACTCTCGTTATATCACCCCTAATGGTACCATAAGAACGATCTTTATCGATAAGTCTTCATAGTGTCCCATTCAGCGCTATAATACGGGAATGATATCAATTCACATTGCAAGTAAAAGTGGCAATACAAGTGTTCGCGCAACTCGATTTTCTCTCCACTTTACTCAAAATCTCATTTACGGAACTCGCTATTTTTCCCTCTCGCAACGACTCTACTCTCCAAGAGAAAAGCTCGTCCAGAAAATAAAGTGCCATAAAAGAAAGTAAACTTACCTGAACGATGACGATCACGTCGATCGGTCGATCAATGAACGAGAGACAGGGGTCCCCCGATCGCGAAGCAGACGCTTCACCGTGTCTCATAAAGCGACGTTATCGTTCACTAACCCGCGAAGATCAGTAATTTCGCGCGATGAAAACGCGGCCTTCGAAACTATTTAGCCGAGTCCACGTGGCTGTCGACTACTCTTTGCGCCTTTCCAAAAAAGCTTCCCCGAATTCGCACCGGGTCAAAAATCGATGATCGATACGTTCGAGCCCTCGAACTTATCGATGGAAAGAGGGTGGGAGCATGCTCCGAAAATTTTCGCGCAAAAAAAGAATCCGCCTCGCAACGACGAAACTTTTAGGTTTCTTCGAGGTTGTTCGACTGGTCGAATCGATTAATCGCGACTGGGACTGGATTCGTGGACGATGAAGGAGACGTTTGATAGATTCAGACAAGTAGGTTCTCTGTCATGGCTGGCTCGACAGCCGGTGCTACATCCGAGTCCACGGACCGCTGGACATTAACTAAATCCGATGGATTCGACGCGGCTCCTCCACCACCTACGTCCTTCGTTTGATATCACCAACTGGCATTCTCGCGCATGGTCCCGGACGCTCCATTGCTTCTGCGCGAGATCCCCGATGTTTCGAACACCTACATCGTGATAGCGACGCGATAACGACGCATCGTCTTCTTTCTATTGTTTCGACCACGCTTTTCTTTGCCTTTTACCAGATTTTACGATCGATTCGCTCCAAGGCCGATTTTTTCACCAAATTATGATACGGTCAAGTGGATTCACCATTCGAGTGACACAGGTGGAGACGTTCAGATATGAAAAATATCGGCGTTCACTGGTTTGCCACTTGTTCTTCAACCTTTTTGAACCTTGCACTTCTTCAAACTTTTTGAACATTGAAGGTCTTCAAACTTTTTGAATATTGAAGTTCTTGAACCTTTTTGAACATTGAAGATCTTCAAACTTTTTGAATATTGAAGTTCTTGAACCTTTTTGAACATTGAAGTTCTTCAAACTTTTTGAACCTTCAAGTTCTTGAACGTTTTTGAACCTTCAAGTTCTTCAAACTTTTTGAACCTTCAAGTTCTTCAAACTTTTTATACCTTCAAGTTCTTTAAGCTTTTTGAACATTGAAGTTCTTCAAACTTTTTGAACCTTGAAGTTCTTTAAACTTTTTGAACATTGAAGTTCTTCAAACTTTTTGAACCTTCAAGTTCTT